AGACTCGTCAGCATACTCCTCAGCAGTTCGGGGTCCATTCCCACAGACTGAAAGGGAAGACAGAGTGAGCAGTACAAAAAACGTTGAAAGATGGCGCCAAATGTGGGGACGGAAGCACAGGGATTGCTGGGATGCAAACCGATGCATCACAGGGCATTGGGACAGGACACAGAATATCCTGCACCCCCCACCCCCTTCCCACAAGCCACAGCTCCAGAATGGGAAGAGGTGCTCTGTGGTATAGCTGCCCATAATGCACCGCTCTCAATGCCACTGCAAGTGCCACAAATGTGGCCACGTCAGTCTGCTTGTTCCTGTCAGTGTGGACAGACTGCAGTGCTTTCCCTGCTGAGCTCTCCGAAGGCGGGTTTAACTCAAAGCACTCTACATCTGCAAGTGTAGCAATGCCCTAACTCTGAAGCAGGTAGCCGAGGTGACTTTCACTCTCTTGATCTTGAAACTGTAGTCACAAAAGCTGAATCCACAGTGGTGTAATACAACATTACTAAATTCACTTAAAATAAAATAGAATAGGCTACATTAGAGATGTGAATTGCATTGTTCATCTGGGAAGAGACTTGGACTACAGGAGGCTGAGCGACACTGGAGGGGGCAGCTGAGTCTGGAATGGTAGGAGGAGCAGAATAAATACCCACCATTACAGTGTTGCCAACTCTCATGACTTTATGGCAAGTGTCGCAATATTTGGTGTTTTTGTTAAAGGCCCAGCTCCAGTCATTGGGAGGAGGGAGGAGAGTAAGTTCTTAGCCCTCATGGTTGCACAGAAAAGCTTGAAAACATGACCTGCACACATAGGGGTGCTGGAACTAGGGGTGCTGCTGCACCCTATGGCTTGAGGTAGTAATAACAACCCAAATACATGGTTTCTGCCTTAAGCACCCCGCTATAAAAACTGTTCCAGCACCACTGCCTGAACATAACCTAAAGACTCAGAAAACAGAAGATAAGGCCGGGGGAGGGCAGGGATTTGTTAGTCTCTGAGGTGCCACAAGTACTCCTTTTCTTTTCATGATTTTTTTAAGACACTCATGATTTTTAGGGCCTGTCTGATAATTTTGGCATCCTTGGCATTGGCAATAGTGGACTTAACAGAACCGGGGCTGTCTGGAAGACCGTAGCTTCAGGAACCTGAACATCTGGGACACCAACTCCACTCAGTGTGAGCCAGAGTGCTGACCTGACAACTGAATCAAAACCCACTTTGATGTTGATGTATGCCATGTGAATCGGGTGGTTAAATTCTCAGTGAAGCTCAGTCAGAAACTGGAGGGTAAGGACAGCATCCATTGTCCACCACCCAGCAGTGAAACCTGATTGCTGTGGAAGCTGTTAAGGAGCAGCTGCACTCTACCAAGCAGAATGTGAGTGAAGATCTTTCCTTAGAGGCAAAGCTCTGCAGTAGCGTGGAAATGCCTTGTTGCAGTGGGAGCCCCAAGGGGCTTTCTGGCTCACTTAACCAGAATGCTGCCTTACTCTCCCGGGGAGTGAACACCATAGTGGGAGCTCTACCATCTTTTTTGCAGGATGTAAACATGTCCTCGCCTCCAGTCTTGTCCAGATCCACTGGTTGGTACAAACAGTGAGACAAGAGGATGGTCTCATCTCATATCTTTTGGGGATGCTCACACCAAAAGCAAGTGCTAGCTTTATGCAATACTTTGTGCTTCCCAGCTGCACTGTGTATAGGAGTGAAAGACTCCTTGCTCATCTCCACTGGACCTGACACAATCTGAGCATCTGTGGTATTTTAAAGAGAGGTTTCTTTTTGCTAGCTATTTTGTGTTTTCTGCAGATGGAAAATCATGCTGGCGGGGGAAGTTTGGCTACTCCTTTTGCCGTCTCATATGCATTCTTAAAGATTCTTTTTCTCCTGATCAAACTTTTGATTGAGCCTGTTGTGATGCTGTTTGCCATATATTGGGTCAGACTGTCACATGGGGCTGCAGGTTTCTTCAGCTGGCTAGTCAGCATGGGAGGTAAAGTGCAATGTGGCAAATTTCTAGTGCATCAAGAGGAGATGGGAAAAATCTGTAGGAGCAGTAACAATTACTCAATTTTACATGTCCTGGGGACTCCACTCTATTTTGGTGATTGGTTTTGGTCCTCTCCTTTATGTTCCATTTGAATGACTTCATGTTGGAGTGGGTAACAGTCCATGATATTTGACTGGGAGGATTATTAGCTAGAAATGGTTTTCCAAGCTTAAGATACGGAAATAATAATAAAACGATATGGAACATGGAGGGCTGCATGGGTGACTAATACAGGCAGTGTAAAACACACCAGAACCTGTTGCTTCTGATATTAGTTTATTGCACATAACAGTCTTATTCAAAAAGCATACATCATGCTGAGGCAGTGATTTAAAAAAAGCTGGCAGGAGCATATAATGCTGGATGGATTTTGCCACTTAAGCTACATGTGGGTAATAGCTGGTAGTGGGTAATATGTAGTGTTTGACCTTTACATAAATGAATGAATATTACACTAGAATGTTGATTGATAAGAACTTTACTTCTATTAAGCAGTAGGAATTGTTTCGTGCTGTTTGGGGCAAAAAGGTTTTATATAATTGGAGTTGTAATTAGAAATGCAAGCCCTAATTACCCGTTACCTATTTCTGTTTGAGGACTGTAGAAAAAATATTCACTTTTGACAGCTATTTCCACCCTCTAATTACTAGTGAGAAGGTCTGGACAGAAAACAGAGTCTAGATCATCTAGTAATAGAAAAGCCAATCAAAAGAAAAAGCAAGCCATTATTTAAGTTCTCTGGATGATTCATTGAATTATTGTGATGTCATTATCATCACACATTATATTCCTTCCAGTTTATTGGTAGTGTAGGGCTCTACACTGAGGCCCCTTTACCCTGCTCTGTCTGTTTAAAGGAGCCACACAGTAGGAATAAATTGCAGTGTAAAGGGACCTTTGAGCAAATGAGAATCAGGTCCCAAGTCTTCACAAATACTGGGTATCCCTTCACCACCCAGCCGTAAGGGTAGCAAAGAGTATGTCAGTATGAATTCAGCTCTTTGGGTCACTTGCCTTGACATGCATGTCCATGGGGTTTGTCATTTCTCCTTGAATCAACAGATCCCACTGACACCTCTGAAAGCTAATTAACATGAATTGCCCACAGCCAGTATTTTTAAAGCAGCTAGTCCAAAGCAGAGCTCAATCTCCCATCTCCACATAAAGCACTGCAGGCATTAATGGAGGACAGCATTGTGGAAGCATTTCTGAAGTCTGTCCCCCCAGCAGAGATAACACAATATGTTAGCACTGGTATCACACTGGTTGATCTAATGCATGAGCGTGGGGGCATACTATATAGCCACATAATACTGTTGCTATACTCTGGGCCATTCTGTTTCTCACAAAGCCACCCCCTTTGTTGATTTTAATTCTCTGTAAGACAACTGTAAGCCATGTTGTCAGTCGCCCCTCCCTTCGCCAGAGCAACGGCAAACAATCGTTTCACGCCCTTTTCCCTGGATTGTGCGAGCAGGAGCAGATGCCATAGCACAGCAAGCATGGACCCCATTCAGCCCACCACAGCAGTTATGACCATTGTAAACACTCGCGCATTATCGTGCAGTGTATGCAGAACCAGCACCTGAAAAACCAGACAAGGACGCGACAGCAGCGCGGTGAGGAGGACATGAACACACTTTTCTCTAAAACCGCATTCCTCTGTAATTTGGCGATTACGGTGTTAATGGGGCAGGCTCATGCCGTGGAATGCTGATTCTGGGCCCGGGAAACAAGCACAGAGTGGTGGGACCACATAGTGTTGCAGGTCTGGGATGATTCCCAATGGCTCCGAAACTTTCGCATGCATAAGGGCACTTTCATGGATCTTTGTGACTTGCTTTCCCCTGCCATGAAGCGCAAGAATACCAAGATGAGAGCAGCCCTCACAGTTCGCAAGTGAGTGGCAATAGCCCTGTGGAAGCTTGCAACGCCAGACAGTTACTGGTGAGTCGGTAATCAGTTTGGAGTGGGCAAATCTTCTGTGGGGTTTGCTGTGATGTAAGTAGCCGATGCAATCATTGAGCTGCTGCTATCAAAGGTAGTGACTCTGGGAAATGTTCAGGTCATACTAGATGGCTTTGCTGCAATGGGATTCCCTAACTGTGGTGGGGCTATAGACAGAACGCATATCCCTATCTTGGGACCGGACCACCAGGGCAGCCAGTACATAAACCGCAAGGGGTACTTTTCAATGGTGCTGCAAGCACTGGTGGATCACAAGGGACGTGTCACCAACATCAACATTGGATGGCCTGGAAAGGTTCATGACGCTCGCGTCTTCAGGAACTCTGGTCTGTTTAAACAGCTGCAGGAAGAGATTTACTTCCCAGACCAGAAAATAACTGTTGGGGATGTTGAAATGCCTACAGTTATCCTTGGGGACCCAGCCTATCCCTTAATGCCCTGGCTCATGAAACCGTACACAGGCACCCTGGACAGTAGTCAGGAGCTGTTCAGCTATAGGCTGAGCAAGTGCAGAATGGTGGTAGAGTGCGCATTTGGACGTTTAAAGGGTCGCTGGCGCAGTTTAATGACTCGCTCAGACCTCAGTGAAACCAATATTCCCATTATTATTGCTGCTTGCTGTGTGCTCCACAATCTCTGTGAGAGTAAGGGGGAGACATTTATGGTGGGGTGGGAGGTTGATGCAAGTCGCCTGGCCACTGAATACACGCAGCCAGACACCAGGGCAGTTAGAAGAGCACAGCAGGAAGCAGTGCGCACCAGAGAAGCTTTGAAAACCCGTTTCATGACTGGCCAGGGTACTGTGTGACACTTCTGTTTGTTTCTCCTTGATGAAAACCTGCCCCCTTGGTTGCCTCTAAATTCCCTGTAAGCCACCCACCCTCCTCCCTTCGATCACAGCTTGCTTGCAAAGGAAATAAAGTCACTATCATTTTAAAAACATGTATTCTTTATTAATTGATTATAAAAATAGGGAGATAACTCACAAGGTAGCCCGGGTTGGGTGTGGGAAGAGGGTAGGAGGGAAGGAAAAGGCCACTTTAAAACTTGTTGAAAGCCAGCCTTTTGTTGCTTGGGCTGTCCACTGGGGTGGAGTGGCTGGGTGCCCAGAGCCTCCCACCCCGCATTCTTGGGCATCTGGGTGAGGAGGCGATGGAACTTGGGGAGGAGGGAGGGTGGTTAAACAGGGGCTGCAGTGGCAGTCTGTGATCCTGCTGCCATTCATGAACCTCCACCAGACGCTGGAGCATGTCCGTTTGATCCCGCATTAGCCCCAGTGTTGCCTCAAGCCTCCTCTGATCTTCCTGCTGCCACCTCTCCTCATGTTCATTGGCCACTTTCCTGTACTCTGCTATTGTGTCCCTCCGCACATTCTGCTGAGCTCTGTCAGTGCTGGACGACTGCATGAGCTCAGAGAACATTTCATCGCGCATACTTTTTTTTCGCCACCTTATCTGAGATAGCCTTTGGGATGGAGGAGGGAGGCTTGAAACATTTGCAGCTGCTGGAGGAAAAAAAGGGAGTGAAAGCATTTAAAAAGATACATTTTACATAGCACATGTGATTTTGGTACAAGGTCGCATTTTGCATCTTATATTGAGTGCCTGTGGCTTTGGTGTTAGAGATCACACATGCAGGACCGGGCAACAGAATTTGGCTTGCAGGTGGCCATGGTAAGCCATAGTCTTTCGGCTTCTGCAACCTTCATAACAGCAGCCCCCTTCTTTCCCATACCAAACAAAGCCCACTGAGTTGGCCATTTAGTGCTGCAGTTTTCCTGTTAACGTGCAGCAGCAGAAACCAAACTAACCCCCTCCCCCCATCCAATTCTCTGGGATGATAGCTTTTCCCCACCCCCCACCTCCTGGCTGGTATCAGGGAAGATCCCTGCTAACCAAACACGAACAGCTCAGTGCCAATGGCCCCCCCGCACGTTGTGGCTAACTGCAGGGAGGATTTCTTTTCAGCCACAGGCAAACAGCCCAGCAGGAACGGGCACCTCTGAATGTCCCCTTAATCAAATTCCCCTATTTCAACCAGGTTACCATGAATGATATCACTCTCCTAAGGATAACACAGAGAGATAAAGAACGGATGTTGCTTGAATGCCAGCAAACATCAGGACCATACGCTGCCAGGCTTTGTCATGCAACGATACCAGATTACTTGCTACTATCATGGCATGGTAAAGTGTCCTACCATGGAGGACGGAATAAGGCTGCTCTCCCCAGAAACGGTCTGCAAAGGCTTTTAGAGTACCTCCAGGAGAGCTTCATGGAGATGTCCCTGGAGGATTTCTGTTCCATCCCCAGACACATTAACAGACTTTTCCAGTAGCAGTACTGGCCACGAATGCAACCCAAGTCCTCAGGGCTATTTAATCATTAAAAAATGCTTGCTTTTATAACATGTATTATATTTTAAAAAGTACACTCACCAGAGGTCCCTTCTCTGGTTTCGCTGGGTTGGGAGGGTATTTCAGTCAGGGTGATAAGAAGATCCTGGCTGTTGGGGAGAATGGTGTGCTGTGTGCTCTCCCCAAACTCGTCCTCCTCCTCATCTTCCCCAAATGCAAAATCCTCAGCCATGGTGGAGAGTACCCCATCATTGGAGTCCACAGACAGGGGTGGGGTAGTGGTGGCGACCCCCCCCTAGATTTGCATGCAGCTCAGCATAGAAGCGGCATGTCTGGGGCTCTGTCCCGGAGCATCCGTTTGATTCTTTGGTTTTCTGGTACGCTTGTCTGAGCTCCTGAAGTTTCATGCGGCACTGTGTTGCCTCCCTGATGTAGCCTCTGTCCCTCATGGCCTCTGAGATTTTTTGAAATGTTTTGGCATTTCATCTTTTGGAATGTAGTTCTGATAGCATGGATTCCTCTCCTAATACAGCGATCAGATCCAGTACCTCCTGTTCGGTCCATGCTGGAGCTCTTTTTCGATTCTGGGACTGCATGGTCACCTGTGCTGATGAGCTCGCCTGGCCAAACAGGAAATGTGATTCAAAAGTTCCCGGGGCTTTTCCTGTACACCTGGCCAGTGCATCCGAGTTCAGAGTGCTGTCCAGAGCGGTCACAATGGTGCACTGTGGGATAGTTCCCGGAGGCCAATACCTTTGAATTGCATCCCCACTAACCCTAATTCGAAAAGGCGATGTCGATTTCAGCGCTAATCCTCTTGTTGGGGAGGAGTACAGAAATCAGTTTTAAGAGCCCTTTATGTCAAAAAAATGGCTTTGTTGTGTGGATGGGTGCAGGTTAATTTGGATTTAACGCTGCTAAATCCAACAAACTCATAGACCAGGCCTCTGAAAGCAGAGCTCTCCATTGATATTATGGTATACTCTGAAACCTCCAAGATACAGTCATTTATAATATTACAGCAGAAATATACAGATTTAAGGTATTGCAAATGTTATATATGACAACTATTGGGCTGTGGATCTTCAATAAGTACAGTAAGACCAAGAGTTAAGGTAAATGGTGATAATCAACGTTGATATGTCCAAAATGTAACATTTTGCATCCTTTAAAAATAAATGCTCCAAAGCAGGTCTCACAAACAGACCATGTCTATTTCTCTCGAAAAGGTGGAGGAAGAGGAGGAGGATGTAATTTCATGCTGTGCCTAAGGCTAGCTAAATCTTTAATCTATCCATTCATAGATGTATTGTACAGTTTGAAATAACTACTCCCTTAGCTCCATATTACCACAAACTGCCTGCAAGAACTGTCTGTCAAGTGAACCACATCAAAAGTCAGACCCTCATTAGACACATTCTAGTGTGAGCATCCCACACCAGGTAAAGTAGGGAGCTGTCTTTCCTTTTATTCTTTGCCTTTATAAGGCTGAAGTGTATTCCAATATATTTTCAGGAACTGCCCACATAACTGAATGATGTCTGTTTGCCCAGAAAAAGAATATAAAATGGCAGATGGATATCTGGGATTTAATATTTCAATTTTCTCTTCCAAATACTACTATTTACTTGGGGTTAAATTTTCATTTCTTCTTTTTCTTCAACACAGAGACATATGAAAAGATCAGCATATATGTTATTTCAGCTCCTGGATGATGGAAACACTGCAAGGATAGCAAATCTCATGTTGTTTTTGTCCCAGTGACAGCTCTTCTAGCTATTAAAAATAGACGAAACACACGTACAAACAGTTGCTATCCCTAGGCTGCCTGGTATGTTTCAAACAATATTCCACTTCACGTCCACTAAGTTTTCCAACTTCAGCCTTAAAACCCATTTCTTGTTGTGGGGCAGACTGCCTGTATCAGAAACCAAAGCTCTGTTCCACAAGTACAGTCCAGAGCAGATCTCCTGCCTTCGTAATGCAGAAAATCACCTTTCTTCTGCTTACAATCTCAACAACTGACTATGGCTAACCTAGTATTAACCTTAACCTCCTCCAGCTGTGATCGCCTCGACATGTACATATTTACCAGTATTTTTCAGGACTGCCAGTGAGTCATACACAACATTCATGTGAGTACAAAACACAACTGAAAGATTCGGAAAGGACCATTATACAAAAAAAGGAGGACCAGTGAAAAAGTAAAACAAACATCATACAAACATGCAGTGTCAGGGGACTAGCAATGGAATACAGAGACCTTCACCTGTCACGTAATGGTGTGAATGGATCAATTGTGCCCATGTTATTACTAAAGTTGGTCAAATTAATTCTGAATAATATCCAGTGTGAAATTAGGTCTTTTCTTCCTGTTCATTGAATGTTTGTGAATTCATCCTACTTTCCACTCATGCATTTGATATTTTTAAGTATTTACCAAATAGTTTGATTGAACAATTTTCAGCCTATGGAATGTCTGCAAACTGTTCACTTTTATTATTCACTAGTTATTATTCATCATTTGTGGCGTGTGATTGTTCACCTAAACTGAGATTTTCAAAAGAGCCCAAGGAAGTTAACTGAACATCAGGAGAATCTGGGAACCTAACTCATCAGGCTCCTTTAAAAATCCCAACCCTAATCTAATAATGGTGGTGTTTCCCCCCCAGATTAGAGGGCTGAAACTTTCTAAGCAGGAGAACAATAAAAGCAAATAATAAATACTCTTGTTAATCCACAAATATCCTTCTCTACATGGAGACACTGATATTTCTATGAAGAATAAACATTTCCAAACATTTATAAGATCAAAACCCTATTTTCACAAATATTTGCAGTCAAAAAAAAAAACAAACCCAATTAAATTTCAAATGAATGGTTGTAAATAGTGGTTTGGCAGCAATCAACCAGCCCTAGTTACTACCATCCAATAGCTACAGAATCCTAGATGGTATGTGGCAAGGCACTTCTTTGCCTCGCTTGACTCAGTGTTTTCCCCTATGGCGATGGGTTGGGAGGATGGGGAAAATTGGTCGGACTCCAGAGCATTTTTATTCATCGCTTGGGTTTTATTTTCCAATATTTACAAGGAGGGTCTTGGGGGAGGCCCAAGCAGTACTCTTCAGCCAAATAAAAAAAAATAAAAAAAGAAACTTTTAACGCAACAAGGGAATACCTTTCCCTGCCCCCTCTCTGGGTGTTATCTTATTATGCTGGCTGCTGGGTGCCAGGCTTTCCCCAAACTATCCATTAGCTCGGTTGTTTCCTCTATAGGGAAGAGAGCAGGCTTTCACCCAGGAGAAGCCTCTTCTCCCTGCTGCCATTAACCCTTCTGCAGTTTGTCTTTCACCTCTCCAATCAGAAGAGGCGTTTTTAAAGGCCACTGGCATCCCTTAATTGGACTCAGGTGTCCCTAGTTGACATGATGTAACTTTTTCAGCTCATAGAAAAAGGGCCTTTAGCATTCTGAGGCTAAAATACTTGTCTTCCGCCACCCTCTGGTGGCCCGCCCACTTCCTGGAACCCAACAGGACCACTCTCTGGTGGCTGTCCAGTATGACTTTGTCACTAGAGCCTATGTGAAATGAATTGGCAGACCAGTTCAGTATCTCTGCAAAATTCCCAACATAAAGAATTAAAAGTGAATGAGTATAGAATCTGAACTGCACTCTTATCTTTAGGGTTGTTCTCTCATGGTTGAAGCAGATTGACAAGACAGTGTCTGGAAGCTATGACTGCACTGAAAATTGATCTATCATCCGGCATCTTTCACAAGTACTAAATAAAACTGAAATAAATTAGAGACCTGTTTCTGCCAACCATACATAAAGTAGTATCTTATAGTAGTTAGCTATTACTCCACAAGAGTAAGGGTGCCAGAATCTGGCACTAAAGAAGCAGACCACCTTGATTTTGGTAAATACTTGAATAGGAGAGCCTTCTTTCTTCGGTAACCATCCCTAAAATAGACAGAGAGTTAGTACTCCTTTAAGAAACAAATGCTAATTTCCATCTCATCATTATTCATGTAATACTCTCTCTCATTTTTGATGAGGAAGGATATCCTCTTAAATGAGTTCTGAATCTCTGAGTATTTTCCTGAACACATATATAAAACGGCAGTCTGAGCAAGTAACCCAAATTCCTAATTCTTCTTGTGTGGCATTTTCGTATAACATCTTGATAATGAGTATTTTCTTTTAACTGTTGCTTTGATTTATGGCATACTCAGTGTGACTAAGGATTAATTAATTCTGACTTGATAAAATATACATGTGTGACTCACATACTGTATCTAAATTTAAAGCAACTATAAACCACATTGCAATACTGATGTAAACCTTTGGCATGTCTGTGATGCATACAGTTAGAGATGGACTGAACTGGTACTGAAAAGTTCATTTGACTGAATATGAAGATGCCTTTTGCTTCTAAATTAAGCATGTTGAAAGGCTTAATTTAAATTATATATATTTGATTCACATACAGTATACAAGAATATAAAGTGGATGAATATTTAATTAGTTAAGAATAGGCTAGGAATGTTGGCTTGTGCGCTGCCCATACTGCTCTTGCTTTTTGGAACGATACTAATCCACACAACCATGGAATGAAGATTAAATCAGGCCTGTTTGGATACAAAGTCTATTTTAACGTGAAAGAAAAAAAGGGGAAGATTGTAATTATGAAAGACTACCTTTTGTCTGCAACGGTCTTTGCTGTGACTATTACATAGAAACAAACAGCAAAGCCCATAATACGTATCTGATGCAAATGGAGTGCCAGTAAGAAACTGGCTTTTATTTCCTGGTCCCAGTCACATGATCTGGATCAATACCCCTGCCATCCAATAGGGGTCAGTATGTACTTCCACAGCTACTGTTACTTCAGTTTTATAGCCTTTGTATCAAGAGGACTTCCCCTGCAAGATCTGGTCATAAGTAAATGAAAGCAAAAGTAATTAGCTGTGAGTCACACACACACACTGGAAACTTGATTTACAGGCACAAGTTCTTTATTATTATTGTTTATTATTTGTATTACCATAGCACCTAGGAGCCTTTGTCATGGACTTTGTAAATACTATTTTAATTGTATTAGTGTTGCACAACCTTACTTTGATCCTAGATGTCTGATCTGCAAACAATACTATTAATAAAGTTTCATGCAACAATATAAAAACATTTAAGAAAAATGTGACTAAAGCTGTATTTCCCCCTTATGTTTCTTTGCTCTTAAACAATCCTTTACATAGCATTTAAACAGAAAAATAAACCCCTCACCTACTTTATTTCTAGGGAAAAGCTGTGACAACCATATCTAGTGTTCCAGCTTGCAGTGATCCTGGGATTTTAGATCTGAGTTCATGAGACAGATATGAATTTGGTGGTTTCAGATTTCTTTGTTTGTGGTAACTATATGCTAAAAAACCTGAGCTACTGAAGAAGAAATTCTGCAGGTAGGCTTGTGCAGCATGGTGTAACTCATGCTCATAGCGTGGGTCATTGTCCTTTGTGCCTGTACTAGCTAGACCCCACATAGAGGGCTTAGTTCACTACTGCCTGTGAACTCGTGGACCTGGTTGTTTAGCAGCAGGGGCTCATGTTTTCAGATGCAAAGGTCCCAGGTCCCAGCAAGACTGAATTATTTCAGTGGCATAAGCCAGGTGGCATGATGTTGAATTTGAAAAGGCCTCTACAGGTATGTCTACATAAAAGACCCATGGCAACGTCCCAAAGCCCGGATCAGCTGACTAAGGCTTGTCAGGCTGGGCTGTGGGGCTCAAAATAGCAGTATAGCTGCTGTCAGGCTGGCTGGAGCCTGCTCCGTAAAATGCTCCCCCCTCGCAGGTTCTCAGACCCTGGGCTCCAGCCCAAGTCCGAACATCTACACAGCTAATTTTAGCACCACCGCCCAAGCCCTGGGAGCCCAAATCAGCTGACCCAGACGCTGAGACTCACTGTCACAGATTTTTTTTTTTACTGCAGTGTAGACATATCCTCTATGATCCAAGTGTTGTTTTAGGCTGATGACTGAGATCATCTTCATCTGCTAATAAATCTGAAGGACTACTATATTTTGCTGTATTTAGAAATTCCAGAACTTCATCTCTTTTTGGTAGGAGATCATAGAATCATAGAACATCAGGGTTGGAAGGGACCTCAGGAGGTCATCTAGTCCAACCCCCTGCTCAAAGCAGGGCCAATCCCCAACTAAATCATCCCAGCCAGGGCTTTGTCAAGCCTGACCTTCAAACCCCTAAGGAAGGAGATTCCATCACCTCCCTAGGTAACCCATTCCAGTGCTTCACCACCCTCCTAGTGGGAAAGTTTTTCCTAATATCCAACCTAAACCTCTCCCACTGCAACTTGAGACCATTACTCCTTGTTCTGTCATCGGGTACCACTAAGAACGGTCTAGATCATTCCTCTTTGGAACCCCCTTTCAGGTAGTTGAAAGCAGCTATCAAATCCCCCTCTCATTCTTCTCTTCTGCAGACTAAATAATTCCAGTCCCCTCAGCTTCTCCTCATAAGTCACGTGCTCCAGCCCCCTAATAATTTTGGTTGCCCCCTGCTGGACTCTTTCCAATTTTTCCACATCCTTCTTGTATGTGGGGCCCAAAACTGGACACAGTACTACAGATGAGGCCTCACCAATGCTGAATAGAGGGGAATGATCACGTCCCTCAATCTGCTGGCAATACTCCTACTTATACAGCCCAAAATGCCATTAGCCTTCTTGGCAACAAGGGCACGCTGTTGACTCATATCCAGCTTCTCGTCCACTGTAACTCCTTTTCTGCAGAACTGCTCCCTAGCACTTGGTCCCTAGTCTGCAGCAGTGCATGGGATTCTTCCGTCCTTCCTTGTTGACCCTCATCAGATTTCTTTTGACCCAATCCTCTAATTTGTCTAGGTCCCTCTGTATCCTATCCCTACCCTCCAGCGTATCTACCTCTCCTCCCAATTTAGTGTCATCTGCAAACTTGCTGAAGGGTGCAGTCCACACCATCCTCCAGATCATTAATGAAGATATTGAACAAAACCAGCCGCAGGACCAACCCTTGGGGCACTCCACTTGATACTGGCTGCCAACTAGACATGGATCCATTGATCACTACCCGTTGAGCCCAACAATCTAGCCAGCTTTCTATCCACCTTATAGTCCATTCATCCAGCCCATACTTCTTTCACTTGCTGGCAAGAATAGTGTGGGAGACCATGCCAAAAGCTTTGCTAAAGTCAAGGAACAACACATCCACTGCTTTCCCCTCATCCACAGAACCAGTTATCTCGTCATAGACAGCAATTAGATTAGTCAGGCATGACTTGCCCTTGGTGAATCCATGCTGACTATTCCTGATCACTTTCCTCTCCTCTAAGTGCTTCAGAATTGATTCCTTGAGGACCTGCTCCATGATTTTTCCAGGGACTGAGGTGAGGCTGACTGGCCTGTAGTTCCCTGGATCCTCCTTCTTCCCTTTTTTAAAGATGGGCACTACATTAGCCTTTTTCCAGTAGTCTGGGACCTCCCACGATCGCCAAG